TTTGCTCATGTTTGCAAACAAAAATACGAAAAACTCTATGTGAGCATTAACATTAACGACTATAAATCGGAGCACCATATGGTTGTTCTAATCCTTATGCAAGCGTTGATGGCAATTGTATGTTTATATGACATTCTTAACTGGAAATGGCTAAATTAGAGGAATAGTATGGAAGTCAAAGAATGCGATTCGATAGATTTTCATTCATGTTTTTCAAGTGTTCTCTGCAAATTAAATAATACTACATTTTCCAAATAAATCAAATTTACGACTATAATTTTGCCAAATCTCTTGAATAAAAAGTTTATAAAAGAACGGCATTTTGGTTTGAGCTCTCTTACAGAAATAATGTACAGGAACGGGTTTCAAGTAAAAATTTGCAAAACATGTTGAAGTAACAAATTCTTTCAGGTTCCGGAACGAACCAATTTATTACTCAAAATGGTCTCGTGTAGACGTATAAGTTGTATTCCAAAAAAAAAGCGTAAAAGCGTTCATTTACTTCCAAAATTCAGGTATATACTGTTCCGATTAGGTGTTGTTTTGATTTTGAAGGATTGTCACTTGTTTGGACATTTTATTGGATTTCCGTTCCATTATGTGTTATGCACAGTTTGGCCAGATCAAAAGTAAGTTTACAGCTAAAACAGCATTAAAATAAAGCTAAAAAAGGCTAAAAATATATAAAAATGTCATAAAATAACGCTAAATTTAAAAACGTTTGTATATTAAAATTGTTATTCCGTTTGCAACACATATAATGTTACCTCGACTTTTCAATCGAATTTGTAATAATATGACATTTTGGTTTCCCATATAATAACAAATGCTCGTTCCAAAAATGATCAATATTTCGATGTTTCCGGCTGAATTAGGCGACCTTTGGTGTGGTGCTCATATGACATAGTTTTTTGTTATAATAATATAGTTAACAAATTAATTTATTTTATGTCTGTTTAACCCAGTATATATAAAACCTAAATATTTTGTTAAAAAATACTGTTTTTTAATAGACTCTAGTATTGACAGGAAGCTATGAGAGTACAAGATACACCATTAAAATTAAATAATTTTTAAAAATTATCTGAGATAACGGTTGTTTTCGAGCGACGGTATTGGCACATTTGGCGTTCTTTTAAAGAATCCATTACACCGGCAGTTTTACACGCAATTCCTAAAAGGATACGTAGAATATATAATTTTTAGTATACCTATGAAGGAAGGTATAGAAAAGCTTTTGCCTATAAAATTCAATGTAAAAACATAGTTTTTCTATTGGGCTCTGATGCTACATTTATTTAAATACTACTCAAGTGGTTTTCAATGCTAAATTGGTTATAGCAAAATGCCGAAAAAATGCCAAAGCAAAATTTTGCGGCTAAAAATAAAATGCTAAATTAAACAGCAAATTATGGGATAAATTAATTTTAAGAAAATTTAACAACTTCCCGATTATGTATATAAAATTAAATAAAAATTTATTAGTTTCACGTCAATTGTTTTATGACCTGCTATATCTAGATGTTGTCCACTAGCAAACAAAGATTTGGATTTTATATCTCATACTCAAATATAAAATATATATTTTTCTGATTATCAATGTTTAGACCGGACACAACAAACGAAACATCTAAAAAAAAATGTTATCTTATGTTATGCACTTTTCAATGAATATATGAGTACAAAAATATATGGGCATTATTGCCAATTTTTTAATATTCCATTTTCAAAAAATTAGCTTTTTTGTTTTTGTGGCACATCAATGATTTTTGGTACACATATAGAGAAAAATGTTCTGACTCCGAAACCGTTCGCGATCAATTTTTTGGTTGATGCGCGCAAAAGTTATCGAGGCTTTAATTTTGGGCATAAGAAAAAAATCTTAAAATTGCGCCGTTTATTATATTTACCAAAAACGTTGATATATATCTTCCTCCGTACAATAAGAATATGAATATATTATAATAATCGCGAAAAAGTTGCACATCTTCGCGAAATATGAGAAAAATAATAAAAATATAGGAGATTACGTCAATATTTTCATTATATTAATGACATACACACACCTAAAAATAATTTAAAAATATCTACATAATCTAAACACCATGATTAATCAAATGATATCAAAATCACACAAGTCCGTGTAGCGGTTTGTAAATTACACCGACAACAAAACAAGATATTGAGGAAAAATATTTGTTTTTGGTTCGAAGAAATAATGTCATCATATTAATTTTTTAATTTTATACAAGAAATTTCAGAAAAAAAAAAATGTTGGGGGTTATTCTTCCATTTTACCCGAATTTCGCCGAAAAAATGTCATATATGAAAATAATCACTTCATGTGTATAAGTATACACCTTGCGGATTGTACCAAGACCCTTACGATAAATCTTGGGGTTCTGTAAGTAGAAATAAATCTTAAAATAAAACTATATTATGAAATATACATTTTAAATTGCGTCTAAATCGCGTAATTATCAAAATTATTTGATGCGCATGCGGTTTCAAGGAAGTACTGAAGTTCATCTTCTAATCCATGTATATTTTGCGAAATTTCATTTGACGGCTAAGATGTGCCACATGTTGCTTTGAACTACCCAAAACCTCGTAAAACGCGAATAATTTCCGAAAACTCCATATGCCATTAACGCGCATCCGATTTCGGTGTGCACCCTAAAAAAATACATCGATCTATACCGATTTCAATGTGGTCCATTAAGAACCATGGATGTGCCAGCTCACAACATTTTTGAGATAAATTGGGTACATCTCTCTTTCGGCTGAAGTTTTTAAAGTTCTCTTTTCGAAAAAGATCAAAATCCGTATGAGGTCATTTATTGAAGCGGAAATGATCCACAGAGAACGCAAATAAATCCACGATATTTTCAAAAACATTTTTTGCCAAATTTCGTGTTTTTGGAAGGCCAGTCCCCGCCGTTCTAGTAGATGGATTTTCACGAAGAAGATTTTATATCATCCGAAACGTAAAAAACCTTATTGATCGCGGGTACCCATATCATTCAGTTGACAGATCTAAAAATTTGACCCGAAAAATAGGTTCTTTAGAAATTTGATCGCACAAAATTCTCAACTTCGGATGAGTATTACTCTGAAGCTCTGCATACTAGAGTAACTTCGGGTAATGTGGACCACCATTTTCTTTTTTTGATATTGTGGGCGTAACAACGGTAAAAAATAAAAACAAATTGTTTTCACAGCATGGTAGATTTGTTGGCTAATTATATTCCAGGTCAAAAATTATATATATTTGTCCATAAAAATGTTATTGCATTATATTTCAAAAAACTCTAAACTGCAAATAAAAATAACTTGGCGGGTAATGTGGACCAGTATGTGTGGGTAATGAGGATCAGTAAGTTGAAGGTAGGTTGTGGATTAATTGTGATAAATTTCAATTTATTGCACTCTTGGGTAACAATGAATGCAAAAATATATGGGCCCATGTTTTGGAATAGCCCCCATTTAAGGGTACCACCCCATTTGCGGTATTTTGAAGGTCCTTGCTTCATTATCCAACCGAGGCACGTATAATTTCGGATATCGAGTTTTCAGAGGATAGAATACCTCCTCGCATATTAAATGCGCCCTTGTTTCGAACTCGTCCTCATGAAAATGTCCCACTTTTTTATAGTGGGCCACATTACCCGACATTGAATATCTTTATTTAAAAATAATTATCGGCTTCAGAAATGAATAAAAATTTAAAAATAACCGAAAGTAATTACAGATAAACGTGTATTTTTGTTAAAGAAAACAAGAAAACCACAATACCTTTTTATATTCGAGAAAAACAAAATGTTCGACTATTTTACAAAATCGTTCGACTATTGTGCTAAAAAATTTTCAAATCACACTTTTACAATCAGAGCTACATTTTCACCTACTAAATTTTCAACATTGCAATTATTTATTAAAAACCAAGTTTGATGTTTGTTTTCACTAATTAGGAAAACATTTATCAAGGCGGCATTGACATATTTCAAGCATTTTCTTAGATATGGGGGGTGGTCCACATTTGACGCATGGTCCACATTACCAGAAGTTACTCTACATACACAAAATACATATCAAATTACGCAGATTCGCGACTACAATAATTTTATAATCGATTTTTAAAAATTCCTGTTTGCGTATTAAAGATAGAAGTAAAATTAAAAAAACACTCAAAATCGAGCTTAAAAATGTCAGCATCATTTAAAGGTAGATGCAGTTACAATTTTGAAAAATGATACATAAGGGGCGTAGTCCTCATTTTGTTGGCTTCTAGTTTTACTTTGACACGAAGACCGTGAAATGAGTGGCTCAATCACAAATCGATATAGAACATAAAAACTGGTTCGCCTCAACCTGTTTTTACACATTTTTTTACATTAAAGTAGGCACAGCTTCCACCAAAATAAAGTTTGGAGGTCAATATCATGAACAGTTTGCAACGACAGATCAATTAACCCAAAACTATTCACCTTTTTTCATATACTTAAGTAATTCTCGAGTTATAAAGGGGTGAACCTCCGCTTCAACTATGTTAAAAAATTGGCAATATTGCCCATATACCATACCAAATTGAGTATACAGTCCATATTATTGAAATCGTTTTGTATTCCGATTATATGAATGGCAACGTTATTATTATTTCTATTTTTTCTAAAAAGGGTAATATAGAATAACTTAATATAATAATTTAATCAAAATTTCATTGGCTTTTCTCGAAATTTAAGATTTTATTTTCTGCAAGAAAATCGCCCGGATGAAACGATGATATGAATTCAGACTTTGTTCATTAAATTTCTGAACAGAATTTGTTTTCTACGGGCAAGCAAAAACAACAAAAAATGGAGCATAAAGAGTTAAACGACCACATTATATTGTCATTTTTTGGGAATTTAGCTTTTAAAGGTGTTTAATTCAGCATGTCGTTGCTAATAACAAAAATAAATAAATCATCAATTTGTTTGTAATTTCTTTATTTGTTTCAGTATTTGGCGTACTGCGTAGCTTAGACTGTCTAAAATATCGCTTGGATCCAGAGGCTTATGCCGATGAAGCTCACACCATAAGCGAACGAGATGGATCACTTCTGGTGGCGTCCACAAAGAAACACTACACCAACAATCAGTACTGCGTAGAAAAAATACGCAATGCAACGTGGGCCGATCAAAAGGTAAACAACTGAACTATCTATCGGCTTCTTGTAATTTTGATGCGAATAAAAACCTTACATTAGTTGTACACATTTCTTTGCTTCGATTCGAAAGTTGTGGGAAATGATCGGATACGCTTTAGGTTGTACACCATTGGCCTATTGATATCGTGTTCATTCTATGCGGCAACCTTAGTGGTCTACTTATCGATTGCACGCCTCCGAAATTTGCCGGGCAAAATATTAATTTGCCTAGTCAGCAGCCTATTTACAGCATATCTGGGGATAGCTCTAGGCCAGCTGATGCCAACTCCAAATGATACAGTTTGTTTTGCGTCTGGTAAGTATAGTTAAATTTATTTATCTGATTTGAAATACAACTGGAAACTTTGAAAACTGATTTTCGAATAAAATTTCGGCATTTATAACAAACAAAAATGTTTGAAAAAATATTGAAATTTACAAATTTGATTTGTTCGATTTTAACGGAGATTTTCACAAACTACTTGCAATAGTCAACAATATCCATAAATCATTTGAAATAAAAAATCACATGCCAAGACGATATAAGTCATTTTCAAAACTCATTGCATTCGAAATGCACGAATGAATACTTTAAATAAATGCCTTTATTAAATTTATTTTTAATTTTTTTCTTATTAGGATTCTTTATATATTTTTGTCTGATGGCTGCTTTTTCTTGGATGAACGTCACCTGTTTTGATATCTGGCAGACTTTCGGGTAAGATAAAAATTAATATTAATTCACATTTATATACACTTAAATATATATCCGCATGAATATATTGGGTGATAATATAGCGTTATTAATTAAATTGATTCCCTTTCTAATGCCGACCGTGTTCAATTATTTGTTGGAATGCAATGGTCATGCCGTCTATGTTTTTATTCATTATCTGTAACTGTTGGCATCAAATAAATTCTTATATTTATTGCGATATATTAATTATCATATAGATATAAAGAAATATTTTCAATGGGCGTACGATTATTTTAAAACCAAATAGGTTTTTAGATGTTTTCCATTGAAAATATTTTGATTTGAGTGAATATGTATGTGTTTACAAAATCTTGAATTTATGAATAAACCAGTAAGCGGAGATGTATAGTCTAGCTGGCCGATCACATGATACCCTACACAATGAACATTAACTTTCGGAAAAACGTAATCCGTGACGTAGGGAAAATGTCGGGATATTTTTTTAAGCAAGTTTTCTAGCATTGAGAAGTTTAAAGAATTATATAGAGTTGTCCGTTTCGTGGTTTCAAAAGTAAATAAATAAAATGCATTTAAAATATTGTTAGCATGATATATCTTTCTTATTATAAAGTTTTACCGTTTACATTACGTCAGAATCACTACATCAATTAAATGGCCTCCAGGCGAAGCAATCATTGATTATTTTAATATAATTTTCGATCATTTTTTGACACAAATTAGACGGTATCTCAGGCATAACATGACGAATGTTCGTTTCTAAGTGCTTAAGAATTAAAGGTTTGTCTGCATAGCATAGTTCAAAAAAGGTCTAATGGGCCCCGGCGAGTAGTTATGAGGCCTGGAAATATCTCTTGTAATTAAGGCATATTCGCTCGAGTTGTGTGGCATCGTCATGTTGAAACAACAATTTCTCCGAGTCAGTAGTCCTGATAAAAGTCCTAATTTTCCTTATCAAGTTTTTAATTAAATGGTGTGCTCAGAAAATAGTTTGACCTCACATTAAAAATAGTATTAACTTTAAGAGGATGTAATTAGAAAACATAAATTATTGTAAGCAATTTGTCATAATATTATGATATTTCCAGTTCTCAATTTTGCACAAGAACACTCCCATAATATACGTATTCACATTCGCCGTTCCAGTACGTAATTAATTATGAATTTACTTCGTACTGACTTGGCCACCACTATTCAATTGCTGCCATTTTTAGCAATATTTATTTAATTACCAAAATATTGAAGTTTTTTTTACATATCCCACCGTGTCCTGTGTATATTAACGACAATAATGTTAGCAATTTGCCCCACATTAAATTTATGGGAATGCCATTCGAATGAACATTTGACCACGAAACACTTAACATTATTGTGGCACTTTGTCATCATCTGCCAGCGAGGCGTCAACATTTTGCACCGTTGTCGGGGGGACGCCTGCAATCATCGATAATCTCAAAATAAACAACGTCATGTCGATGATATAGATATGAGAATGATGATATATTTGTACGAATGTCAACTTATTGGCAAATAACGACAATCCCCAATTACGCGGGAGGGATGAAGTTCTGTTATGGGTAATTAAATAAATTTTATTTGTTCGATTTTTTTTTGGCCGGAGCCCACTTCGGACGGCTGTTAAAATCGCTCACCAAACAAGGATATGGTGTCGTTAATGGATGTTAAATTCTCAAACAATTAGTAGCATTGAATTGCGTCGGGGGTGATTAATAGAACTGTTGCGTTAGTGTTTTAAAAGTGACATCAAATGTCATTAATTAAAAATAATAATAAACGAAAAGCTTTAATGAATATAAATTATAGAATTAATTTCGGATATATACTCGTATGCATAAAAAATGTGCACATTTATATATTTATATGTAAATATATATTACAATATTTGTGTGATTGTGATTATTATTTGATAGTCACAATGGTTTATCACATCATCAAATATTCACATGATTGTAAATTGTCTTATTACAATATTAAGAGAATGAATTTATTGTAATAATTTTGAGCGATTTTTACACGGGGAAACTCGATTAAAGCAACTAATTATTATCGAGATTTGATTTAATAAAATTTGAATTAAAAAAATTACGAATTTGTACAACTTATAGCCTAGACAGACGACAGCCTTAATTTGCATTAAAAGATTCTTAATTTGAATTAATATTTACCCCTGACAGACGAATGAAACTCAATGAATTTCAAATGGTAATATACGAATTAAAAATTAATTTGTTTAAGGGGACCCCTCCGTTCTCGGGGTCAAAATTTTTGTTGATATAATTCGAACCTACACTGATTAAAGAATGTTCCTACAAAATTTCAAGTGAAAATCTTAAGAACTCTTGAAGATATATCCGATTTATTGTGTCAGCATCAAGTGACGGCTGAAGGGCTTCTCAAACTTAAAACGCGTTTTTCTCTAAACATTTTTTTGCGAATGGCGGGCACGATAACTCAAAAACTAATAATCCAATCGGTTCCAAATTTTGCAACGTTTCTCTGGGAGTGTATAGCTCTCGTATGAACTAGGATAAAGCCAATCGGTGAAGATCTTCCTTACTTTTTAACTTGGTTTTCGGTTAAAAATCGGCGATTTTCCAAAAATATTTTTTTCAAAGGTGCACCATATTGTTAATTTTAGAGCGAAGTCAATAATCCTAGTTCATACGAGAGCCAGACATGTACTCTTTCTAACACCGTTGGAATTTTCGGATTCCGATGTTCCAGTGAGGTGTTATCATGCCCGCCATCAAAAAAAAGACTTTTCTTTAATTACAAAAGACAACAACAAAACAGTAACAAAACAATTTTGTAAATTATTTTTCTTCTCTTTTAAATCTTCAAATATATATGTGCAAAGTTACACATATATTGATTTACCAGCCCATTGAAAATCTTAAATTTCGAATGTAATCTTTTGAATTACATATTAAAAGTTTAAAATGCAAATGAAATATGTGTAATAATATAGGAAATTGCACCATTATTTTAATTATTTTAAAGACATAGTATATGCACCTAAAATTAATCAAAATTAAATTACAGAAGAATATTGAGAATACATAATTGTCAACATTGTCCATATCTCTACTAAACTCAAAAACTACTGCACCGATTTTGACCAAATTGTATGTACAGGCTCTAAGGGGCGTGGGGAGTGTTAATTTTAAGATCGTTTGACAAATGGCGCGCTATATAATTTCTATGCGTTTTGCCCGATTAGAGATTGGGTGCTTAATCGACGTACATAATAACGACATACATAACCTGTTTTCGTGAATAGCGCGTGGAAGTCCAACCAAAAAATGAATAACTTTTCAAATTGAAGTACAAATAATTTAATCTACTTATAAAAATGATGTAAAAAACGTATAGTAGAGCATCAATTTGAGAACGGCGGGACTGGTTTGACTAAAAATTCCTTTCAGTTATCTGTAATTGAATTGGGAGGGTTTTTATAAAAGAAAATGTTGAGAAAAAATGGGCGAAAAAAATTGAAAAACACATTTTCAGGAACGGCTGGGACATATACCATGAAGTGATACTATACCGACAATTTACAGAGATGTTCCTTACCCTACTTGTAATACCGAATTAAATGCAATTTATAGGGTATTTGTTACTACTACTATGCAACATATGGACAACAGATAAGGAGGCTTAAAAACACATAATAATGGCAAGCCAATTTTTCTATGTTATAAAACCAACACATGACATATACCCACACGATACCTGAATCATTTGCTGAAACTTAAACGTATTCTAAATAGGAATCGAAACCAGCTATATTTGTGGAAAAATGTTAATACATACACATACGTTGTTATGTTTAGGATATACTAGTTATGGAGGATATTATTGAAACTTTTCTTATATTTGGAAAGTATATATATCTAAATTCGAATCCTACTTGGAGACAATTGCGCATTAGATGCTCGAAGTGTCTATGCGCCTTTATTGTTCCTCAAATATATTTTTCATGATGTGAAAAATATTTCCATTGAGAACTGCACTGCACCAATTTGACTCACATTTTCCTACGTTTGTTTTTAATTGCAGTGGGAAGAGTTTTACCAAAGAAAATTTTGAGAAAAACATAAAAAATTCGCAGATTGAAGTAATCAAATGTTGTGTTACTTACACCTTTTATAACTCGAAAACGTCTGCACAAATTTTAATGATTCGAAGGACTTATGAATCGTATGTGATCAAAATAGGAATAGTAATTACGCCAACCATACTAAATTACCTTTTGATGTGAGAGTAGTTAGATCCAAACTTGACCTTCTCCTGAAAAAAGTTGGGTGGAATAAGTTCGACCAATTGATAAACTGGAATACCACACATACTGACATAATTTTATATTTAACAATATTACTTAATATTTTGAGGTATCAGTAAATCATAGTTTACCGTCGTGAGGAAAATACTATGCGTATTTTTTATTGCGGAAAATTTACATAAATTAAATGGTAAATATTTTCTGAAATATATATTTTAATGGATTCGTTAATTTTTACCAAACCTAAATTGAAAAAAAACAACATTTGCCGGGTCTGCTAGTATTTATATAAATTATTATACATATTGTTGGTTATGTAAACCTAAATATTTATTTCATTTTAGATCGGCAAAAAAGAAACACAACTTCAAAAGTAATCAGAACAAGCGTTTCTTACTTTATTCTCTCTACGGATGGGGTTTACCAACGGTGATAACAGTTGTGACGGTGACTTTAACTAAAACAGAAGTTTTAAGCGAAAATATTCGACCCAATTTCGGACATGGCAGATGTTGGTTCACATGTAAGTGCATTAGGACAACAAATAGTTGGGCAAAATATGATTGGTATTAATCGAATTGTTTTTTGTTCATGTTATCAGATGATTCAGCTGGCTCCGCCAATCTATTATTTTTCTCCGGACCCGTTGGCATACTCTTCCTGATCAATCTTATACTTTTCATTCTCACCCTGCGCTACTGTAATCGGGTCAAACGAGAAATATTCCGAATGCAAAGTTCAAATGTGGAAAAACCAATAATGCGTCGGCGATTCTTCGTGGACAAGGCCAGATTTGCAATGAATACTAAACTATTTGTCGTCATGGGCATAACGTGGTTCCTGGAGTTGCTGAGTATAGTCTTTTATGACCACAAAAAGCTTTTCTTTTGGGTGATAAGTGATTCGTTCAATGTGCTATTGGGCGTATCGGTGTTCTTTATATTTGTGTTTAAAAAGCGTGTGTGGCACTCGGTTCTGGAGAGGATTGGTAAGTAACAATTCGAAATATTGACAAATATATATGTACGCACACGACGTATGTTATCAATGTGATTTATTTGTACTTTTAGGACTAAGACAAGTTGATTCATTAAAGAATGGTCCCACCGGAACCATGTCAACATATACCCATAATAATATATCAATGAATCGCCTTAACGCCATTGATGGCAACGCCTCACTTTTGAGTCCGAATGCAGCGCGACGTGTGCCAACAATTTGAATGTCTTGAATGTCTCGCTACGCTTTTGTAAATAAACACTGGAAACCTCATACTCGTACTTAAGTATAACTCTCATGTTTGTTTTTAAATTGCACAATAGTTTAGTTGTTTTTATATTATTTTGAGTCATATATAAATTATTTAAAATAAAACGCTTCATGTTTTCATTTCATTTCCAAAATACCTCCTGACATTCTTTCGCTTCAACATAAGTCCATTCAACATTAATTTGACGATAATATGAATATGAGACAATCATATGTATGTGTATCTTCGAACAGTACTGTAACAAACACTTCGAATATTTAAAATCCATGCCACACAACTTAAATACGATCACGAAAAAACGTTACAAAACGTATATACAACAATAACGTCTGCTGTATTCAGCATTGAAATTGAAGTAATATAAAGATATATTTACAACTCCGATGCAGCTAAAATTCTAATACGTATATATATACGAGAGATAAAAAAACGTTTTTGTATTCATATTATTATTTATATCGTACACACGTATGTATTTCATTTAAATTGCATTAGAAATAATATTGCATTCATAAACTCCCAGTATTATATTTATTATTTGAATGGAACTATCCCTCTCATGTAATTTCATTTGTATGTTAGCTATTACATCTCCTCTAGTCCTTTGAATACGAATCAAAAATAAAGAAAGCTTTGAAAATGTTTGCCTTTCAAAAAATAAATCTTAAAATTATAAATTTGTTTTTTTTATTTATTATTTACATTTGGTAAGTAAGAAGGTTTAATTTTTATCAAATAATTATCTCATAATCACCCTTCTGGTGCATCATGGAGAGTCCGAAGGATAACAGTGAACCAAATAATGGAAATAGGGCTATCACAGATGTTGATACTCCAATCGTTGTGAAATTGTCATTAATCGAACTTCTTAATTTGTAAAAACATCCCTGGAATGATAAAATTTAAATGTTACCTTGGACAGACTTCCAAAACTTGTACTTTTCATTGTGAGTACTTACCACCTCAAATAGTCTGCTCGCATCCACTTTGGAAGATTCAAGTCGATGTCGCTTGTAACACGAATTGGGTACGGCTGGTTCTGGCCAATCCAAAAAACTATCATTACCACAACAGTGTAACTGTAATTAAAACAATAATATTTGATTTATCACGTTGGTTTATATATAAAGTGAGATCCACAAACGCTAGTAAATTCCGAATAAGGAAACACAAAGGCTTAAATCTAGTTTAGTAAAAACGATCAGATTTTTCTGAAAATTTTTCCAGAAGTTGATATTTTTAACCTAATTATGGGGATATATTTTTTCTTAGGAGACGTACCGGGGTATTTGAACCGGAAATTCAGGTACGAATACCCGGTTCTTCGTATCCGATACAAAATGTGTATAATTTTAATGTTTTTTTCCTTGTTATTGTAGGGTTCGAAGGCCCATATCTCTCGATCCACAACAACGTTTTAGTCTATCATTTGATTCAGAATTGATAATGGTCTATAATGGATCCAAGTTCGACTTTTAGGGAGTTTACCCATTTTGTATTAACCGGATCCGTAGAATCGGTTACCCGTACCCGAACTTCCGATCAGAAAAATCTGATAGTTTTTACTAAACTAGAGTTGTTCCGGCGTTTTACATATAGCCAAAAGTATCAATGTTATAAAAGACCAATCGGATCCTCTTTTGATTCAGACGGAATGCCTGAAGCAAGACATTCACATAATGGAAATATCTCTGATACGGGATAGAGACTTATGGGCTAATTTAAAACTAGCAAAAATGGTCTCTCATAACTTTTGTTTGCATACAGGGGTTTCAGCTAGCAGGAGAACGGGACCGCACCGGGCCTTTTTACCATTGCTCGCGACACGATCTTGCACGAGTCATATGGCTACCGGGTCACACAAGTTTCAAAGCAGGGATAGAAAATAAACAATTTAAAACGATGTTAAGTTCGGCCCAGCTAAACTTTTATTATGACATTCAAAATATGTAAAATTAATGGGGGCTCCAAGAAGAAAACTCATGTTATGATGGGACCTTGAATATACCAAAAAAGATGTGAGAAAAAGAGAATTATCTTATGGGGGTCTAGCTTTTTATGGAGCTATACCAAAACGGTGATCAATATTGACCACTTTGGGTACTGAAATTTTATTTAGTAAAGGAACCCACACATCATGTACTAGCAATGCCTGTGCAAAATTTCAGATTTCTATCTTAAATATTGCGATCTCTATCGTGATTTCAACAGACGGACAAACATACATACGGACATGCGTAAACTGACAAAGAATTCTTTTCTGATCAAGAATATATACACTTTGTGGGATCTCCGGCAAATATTTCGAGGTGTTGCAAACGTAATGACAAATTTAATATAAAAATGTGAAATGGTAGTAAAATGGTATTTTTAATATATTTGTACATCTTTTCAAGAAAACGCAAACAAAAATTTAATTAGTTTCATAGAGATCGATTTTCAGGATATTGCCACACAATATCTGACAAACATATCCGGTTACAATGTATTGCAACTAATTAACTTTTGTATTTTTCTACCATTTTGTCAATAGGAATACAGCAATCACGTCAATATCTTTATCTGCAAGGCTTCTGGCAATCAAAATCATAATAGATTGTAATACAAAAAAATATCATATATTAAAATATTATTGAAATTGTACTGTAATAGTCATGGGGGTACTTCAGTTCTTTTTTGAGTAAAAAGGTACTGAAAAAAAGTATTTTGTATTGAATTGTCCATCCCTGATCTATGGGCAACAACTCACCAGAAATGCTGTAGGTCAGTGACACTTTGATGACAAATCATCTCTTTAAATTAAAATATTGCTCTAGAACCTGTACTTTCACAACTTCGAGAGGTTGTTACTTTTATCTAATTTTGATTTTTAATGTCATTGACAACTTCATAATTTACTTACATTCTTTTGAATAAAGTCCATACTGGCCGTTGTATTCCGTTCATCATTATAGCTTTTCATTTCCTTCGCAATGGCATCGGATACACCTTCCAATAATTCGCCCTTATAGGTGTGGACATAAATCGAGAGAGCGATTAACGAAAACAGGGCCATTATCAGAAAACCGCCGTACTAATGAACCAAAGAAACCCCAAGCAAAAGATAATCGTTTAAATATGAACTCGATTACCGTTAATGTGGCAGTTCAATAGACTTTCAATTCCGATTTCTACTTACGAACACCAGCATAGCTGAATCGATCTTCACAATGCACGAACAGGCGAGTGAACTAGCGAACACAATAATAGCGCCAATTATAATAACAACCATGGGGGCAATATCCGAATACGATGGATTGATCTTCAAATACCCCTGATAGTCGGTCTGCAGCCACACTCCAATCCATATTAACGATAATCCAGACAGCTAAATAAGAAAACAAATCAGAGATCCAACGTGAATTTCATTGACATTTTAGATTATTTTTTTTTTTCACTTTTACCCAAAATGCCATATTGAAAAGTAAAAGCAGCGCCCTGATACAAGGATATGAAATAAAGCGGCCATTGTCTCTGGTATAGGTTTTCGGCATTTTTTTCAGATTGCAGCCACCACAGCTTACTGTGAATATTAATATTCAGAAATCGTGCTGATCCTTACTTCACACCAGCGACAGATTGAGAAGCACTTGAAGACTGTTTTCTTACAACTGCACTTCAATTAAGCGAAGCCACTCACTTGGTCTCGTCGGTTATCTGCTCAAGAACGCTTCCGATAAGAACAGTAGCGTTTATTCTCTGCAAAAATATGCGGTGCATTCAAATGAATCTACACCAATATGGGTAATCATTCATATCGCAAATAAAAAAACATGCATAAATATGTTATGTTATATTTATTTTGAAAAACGTAGTGCAAACAAAAATACTGCTTGAAAAAATATATTTATGTATATACACATACATATACACCCTCAACCTATCTCATATGTTTTATAAGCTTATCCAGTCGTTTGTACGTTGTTCCATATCTCGATGTATAGATTTAATCTCATATTGGTTTTACAATTTTCTTTTTCAATTTGGACTCTATGTAGGGGAGATACCGGAAGGAGTAGATCGATCGGCCACATATTCGGATTTGATCCAGGCTTAGTAAAAATATAGATGAACTTGTAGATTTACAAGTGTTTACAATTGGAAAGTTGGAATCTGGACTGAGACTGCGGAGTACTGCATTTTTTCTGCAAATAATATAGAAACAAATGTCCCACCCCTTTTCGCCATCAGGGAGGCGAAATGCCATCTGTGATCCTTACACAAATTCCATCCCAACCTATGATATTTGACTAAACTAAGACCCTCAGATATAAGACTAAACTAAAACCCTATTATGGATCGCCTATTAATGAATGATGTTTTTCACACACGATAGTTAAAAAAAACGATATTAAAAATGTTGGCCATGCAACATTCGATTGATTCTCTCTTAAATAATTTGAAGAAAAATTTACATTTACATACATATTCGTAGTATGAAGTGTGGTATTCCACAGAAACAGAATCTTGTACTTTTAGAATCGTTTTTGTAATTGATTTTATCGAAAATTAAAAATTTTAACTATTACAAATTAAAATATTTTCATAATTGCATCCATAAAATTTAATGCGACCCAATTGAATGTACACATCACATCGACAACGTGGGATAACAGTCAAAATGTTTGTAAACAAATAAACACAAACACTCATTCGCATTAAAAAAACAACAACAACATATAAACACCCATATCTATATAAAAGTAAGTATGCCATTTTCGATTTTTAAAAATAACTACAATAACAACAGCAGCAGACAAGAAATACAAAAAGTCACTGATTTCTTTCGTTTTGTATGAACATCAATCGGAATAGGGTAGCAACTGACAAAAATATGAAATGATAAAATTGATCAAACAATATATGGAGTCAAATATCAAGGTCATCGCGTTATTCATTGGACAAAAATAATTATTCGTGGAATTAGATT